TGAGTTTAATACATTATTTATAGAATAAGGATTTTTATTAAACCTAGCTTAAATCGCTTGGTTTTATTTTTTCTCATAAATATTGAAATCCTCTCTTTACTTTACACGTACGTTAAATAAATTTTGGAAAAATTCTATAGTTTTTAGATCATAAAATTTTTGGACTGTAAGATAATTTACGTTGATAATTATTATTTTTATGAAATTTTATATAATAGCGTAATAGGATAAACGTCTACACGTTTCTGTGTTATTTTATAGCATGTCCAAGCCATAATCGCGATGTCTTTCAGAATGACAGACACAAGAGATAAACTTTAAGTTGGCACTGAAATTACTACTCGGAAGCCAGATAAAGTTTGCTGCAACTTAGGTAACAACATGAGGTCATCAAACAATTGGAGTAGCAGTCCGCAATGAAACCGCACTATTGCCAATTGATCGGCCCTGGTTTCAGGTCTCGTAGTTTCCATTTGATGGGATCGATAGGGTAGAAAGCAGTCGACCGGATAAGGTTAAGAAGTATAGTCCGGATCAATTGAAAGGTATTGACCTTGTGTTCCAGGTGTTACCCTGGATAAAGAATTGCGTCAATTTATATCGCGAGTTTTGGATATCTCCTCCTCTACCTCCAGCATGTTGCGAAACTTTCGTCGTAACGTTAAGCCGCTTTACGAGATTACACCACTGGCAATTTACATACGATTGAGTTACGGTGCTTGCGGTGCCGGTGTTCCTGGGAGAAGCAGTTAAAAGTGTACTAGTGTCGCCTGCACGTTTACACATTATTCGGAAATCGGAGAAGGGCGAAGCTATTTCCAAGTTGTACAATTTACAAGCTCAAAATAAGACTACCTTTTCAGCAAACTGTTTTTGCTGATCGTACATTCGACTGAGAATGCGGCTTATGTAAATGTAGTTAACATGTTGTTTCACTCGCTATATTCACGATATCTGAATTGTGCACGTTTTCCACGTAGAACGTAAATATAATCCGGTGGATAATCCCAAGATGATTACGTCTATTATCTATTTCATGCTTGTGAAACATTAGAATTTTAAAAGGAAATACCGATTGCATTTAAAAACACGAAGAAGTGGAAATTCCAAATTTGTATTAACTGCATGCTTAATCGAGGAGCAATCCCGAGCTCAATTTCCGAATTGTACGAAAAATCTAACGCGTAAGCGCTACACTCCGGAACTCGGAAAGATAAACTCGGAAAAGTTTGTAATTGCACGACGATTGCAACTTAAATATACGCTTTAGCGCAGCCAGAATTCACAAGTATCCCTCGCAGTGCTGGACCTCTTTAATGAATATTACTCTTAGATCGGTGTACTTGCTTGTGTAACACGAGTACGCGAGCAAATCCGACGAGATATAGACTGAGTTGAAGTTTTGCCGCTTTCCACGAGCCGTATTATTAAACTTCCGGCAAGCCGAAAGCGAGCATATTCTAGCTTCGGTCTAAGATCGTAATAGCGAACTTTTGCCCTGCAGCCACAACGGGATTTCTCCGGCTATTCCTGCGGAAACTGAGCAAAATTATTCTCCGGCGCGTGACGACCGAATTGATTAGATCTAAACTTGCTTTCACGAGTACAACGTGATATCCAGAGCGCTCGGACGTGACGACAGAACGTTACATAGTAGCAAACGAGAGTGAGAAATTAACGTATCGCTCGTGTTCCAGCTACCGACAGAATTTTCAGCAATTCTGCTCGATGAACCCGAGCGTTGCTAGACGTTGACAAGTTAAAACCATCGAAATATTTCCACTGCATGCGCTTGAGCGACAGATACGTGCGAAAACGTGTTATAGAACAAAGACCGAAGGAAAAAAGAGAGACGAAGAGAGAAAGAGCAGAGAGAGAGTCGTTTGTTACGTGCTATTAACCACATGTGTGATGCACACGTATCTACGTAACGGGCTCAATGATGCTGACCGAAGCAATGAATATCGTGCGCTCCGCACGCTCGACCAAATTAAATGTGATATACTCACCGCGTAACGTACATTGGTCAGTTATACGACGCGTATAACCAAGCTCGTTATTCTTCTTCCATTGTCAGAAAAATTGCGAATCTCGCGTATACTTGATCCACACGAATACACTTTAATGATCTTTATCTGCATACGGTATTCACGGAATTCTCTCTTTACCGGATTTAATTTTTTATCTTAAATTTATACATAGACATTATGTTTGTTAATAATCGCATTTTTTAGTAAACTGCATGGAAAAAAATGTTTCTGGTCATAGCTAATTTTGAACAGCTTAGCTGAAATTGCATTAGCTACTATAACTATGAAATTTGCTAATACATACAAAGGATTTGCTGCTGTATAGCTAATATGTATAAGGACGTGATAGCAAAATAAGCATGTCTGTTACAATCAATTTATTTAGCAACATGAAGTTAGTCGTTATAGTTATGTCCGTGTAAAAGAAAATTGTCTACCACAGCTAAATATGGTTTGCTGAAACTATACTTACTACTAAATTGTCTGTTACACAGAAAACGTTTGCTGCAATGATCAATACATCGACATAATAGCAAAATGCTTGTCTGTTATAATGATAATATTTATAGGCCTCACAGCTAATGGAAAGTTAGACCTCGGAGATACGACGTTAGGTGTCCATATATTACTGAATTTAGCTGCTATACCTAATTTTTAGTTGTGGCAGTTAATCTTTTTTTTCCGTATGTTAGCTGTCTCTTTAAGCGTGATAGTAAAAGTTTTATAAATTCCAAACTTGCGAAAAGTACATAAATTTATGTGTCATTAAGGGATAAACTGAGAATACGATTATCACACTAAACTTTGGCTCGAAAAATTTTGCATTGTATCAATGTCTGATTTATGAGCCAGGTTCGAAGTTGCCTACTAAAGCAATGAATACCAGTCACACTAAACGATCCATCAAGTTGAATATAATTCAGCGTCTGCATTTGACGTCATATGATGTAGTACATTACGTGTAACTAAACGCTCTCTTTTTGTAGACATTTCGCTCATGCGTCGCTTCTGTTCATCCGATGCGAGGAAAATGCAAATATACGTATATACGTTATAGCTGCGAGCAACGCTCGACATACGGTATTACTTCAAATAATTCGCGCCAACATTCGCGCATGGATTTTTATAATAGCTCACTTACGACTCCGTACTAAACGCATGATTATAAGATACGCGAGTTCAATATTAGGAGTTTTAACGTATTAAGTTATACCACTAATAAAATTGCATAAAGCGAGAGAGAGAGAGAGAGAGAGAGAGAGAGAGAGAGAGAGACGGCTTACCTCACGCACAAATAAAACCTCCGTGAATGATGCTTGGTACATATATTATAACAATACTATTACTTTTTTTAATAATGATACTACACTTATACGTTATAAAAATGTACCAATTATGAATTAGGCGCATTGCACTGAACAAATTTCTGATTGAAAATGGCCGAATCAGATTTTTCTTTTTAATTTTATTAGAATTTAAGTTGAGATAACGAGAATTCTGGTTGATACGATATATTTTTAGTAAAATCTACTAGAATTCTTATATTTTTATCAGAATAATTATATCAATCAGAATTCTAGTTATCTCAATCAATTTTCCACCAGAATTACTATTTAATCCAATGAGACCATTTTCTCAGACTGTATTACAACATAATTATTATATAAATATTACGAAAAGTATTAGCTAAAGAAGAAATTGGGTAATTGCACATAGTTCTGGCACTTATAGCCTTAAAGTGCAATTTCATGCAGCTAAGGAAAGCTGGCTTTTATCCCCCCCACTACAATCAAAGCAGCATTCGAAAGCGCTCTTCTCCCGCTTCCTTTTCATGGAGCGTATCTTCGCTGGCTTTAAATTAACGAATGCACTTATTCATTTTCACTAGCTTTTAATTCATTTTAATAAAAATGGATTACGAAAATGAGAATACATCGGATATGTAAAAGAATATACTCGTACAGTAGCAGCTACAGCTGCAGCAGAGATTCGGAGGCGACGCATAGCCGTTGCAATTACTAATATGTAATTATTAAAAAAGAAAAAGTACTGGATAGCACCCATTTAAAAAATCACAACGAACATGGTTTTTTCTTTGCTTCGCTCCCAAAATTATCTTAATCTTGGAAGACACGATTCCATAAACATGACGTGACATGTCATGTATTTCAGCGATGTTCGCTATTAGTTGAACAATATCGAACTTTGAGCGTAATTTATGTCGTATATATGAAAATTGATGGAGTGGGGGTAAAACACCAGCTTTTACTAGCTGTATGAAATGGTATCTTTTTTTGCTTTTAAAATAAGTAACTGTTCTTTTTGTCTCTTTTAATTTTGCGTTTCGTGTCCCATATCTAAGGGTGCGTTCCGATATCCACTGCCAGTGCTGAAAATCTATAGCGCCACGTAACGTATACTGTATAGTTTCAGCACTGGTAGCCAATATCGGAACGCACCCTAAGTAGGCATTTTCCACTTTCATCTGTTAAAATCATATGTCTATGTTATTGACAATTACATATCTCGTATGTAATATCCATGAGAAAACAAGCAGGACACGTGTATTCCAACAATTCGTGACTTCGCCAACAGAACTGGCTAGCTGGCCGAAGCCGACAGCTCGTGGTAACAGGGGCATTGTTTTTGTCGGACACGTTGCCTGGATACTAATGCGTTCGGGCACCTAACGTCCGGCTATACGTTAAGCCCGATGCGCCACGTAAATGCGGCTTACGTTCGCACGATAACGGATCCTTAAACCGACGTATGCAATATCGGTTCGTGTTAACAGTAATCCGTTTCGCCGAAGCGTGTCGGAGAAGGAATCGTCTATCCGGAATAATAAAATCTAGCTCCCTTTGCGCGTGAATCCGCGAGATTTCACAGCCAGTAACACGACAAATAACACCTATCTGCAATATACGCTCGCCGACGTCACCGTTTTAGAAATTGATCGATATAATTTACCTGGATTTACGGCGTGGCAGTGGTTGAGGAGCGGCAGCCAACAGAGCAGCAGCACTGCTCTCTGCATCTAAAATCAGAATTAACTCGTGAAACATTCAAAAACATATATTGCTTCCAACGAATATTACAACAGAACCCATAAAAAGTTCAACAAATCTGGTAATAATTAAGATTATAATTACATTCTCTTTCAATCGCGAACACTTTGATGAATTTGAAATCGATTCTTCTTTAATGAAATCTTAATAAGAGTCTTAATTACGGAGGTAATTATCATTGGAAATTAAAGTATTCTAGTCTTTCTGCGAATTTAGTTTCAAAGGATTAAATAACGAATACTCTAGTTACCTTAATATAAAGGCTTAAAACGAATTTTGATTGACAGAACATATAATCTTTCTTGAAAACTGCAAAGTTTCTAGTTGAGAATAAATAGCGGTTTCGCAAACTTTATTCAAGGAGAAATTAACGGGATTCTTTAAATTAGATCTGTCATACACAGTTTATCGCAGAGACTATTTTCTGCAAAGAAGTAAGATCTATAATCGTTTATTGTGCCGTAACTTCTTTTATAACACTTAGCCGTGTATAAGTATATATATATATATATATATATATATATACTGAAAAGCCCAGCATCCATCCCCTGACGATTAATATATTCGGACAGACCTGCTTTAAATATAATCTGCGGTTATATAAAAGTACATAATACATTCCACTATTCATTTCAGAGATAATTAAATTTTTAATATTTATCATCTTACGTAGGTACGCGCGCGTTTATGTGAGACTATAATGGAAAATAATCTGCGCGATTTAACGTGATTAACGTGACGCTTATTACACCCGAGTAAGTATATCGCAGGTACGAGAAACGCATATCTCGTGTACGAGAATCAGGAAGCTCTACACATGGTGAATGTATGGGGAGTAAGGCAATCCTCTACTGTCCACTGTGCCGATAACAAATGAACTCGGCGTGTGCATACGCCGTCGTGCATGCGCATCAGCATGCACCAGCTATGAGTTCGCATGCACGAACGCTCGATACAAAGGCAGCCGTGCAAGAAGCGTCGTACTGAATTTTTGCGTGGATGCAGTTCGCTTCTCTGCTTCGGCTAACTCTTCGATGCGTCCAACGCGTAAAAAGACCGATGTTCGCGATTACTACGTATTGAACGATTTACCGATTCAATTCCAATATCAGTCGCGCGGAATTTGTAAATTATAGCATTTACGAATTCTGAATAATAAGTACTTGAGATAATGTTCACTTTTTTTGCTCAAAAAAAGAAGCTTAATTTTAACAGAGTTTAATTATAGCAAAATTAGTTAATACCACTTTTATACTGAAAAAAATGCATGTAATTTTACATGGAAATTACATGTTCATGACTGGAAAATTGTCTAAATATGATTGGAAATTTACAATTTCCAGTAAATTTCCAAGCATATTTACGTAATTTTTAGATAATTTTCCAGTCGTATATATACTTTCCATGTAAAATTGCATTTTTTTTCAGTGTAGTATTTTTTTTTCATGATTTTTATACAAAAAGTTTATCAGTTCCATAAATTTTAATGTCGTTTTCCATGGATTAGATATATTGCATATACGATGTAAATACACACAATAGAGAATACACAAAACAAATAAAGTTAATAAAATGAATGGAAAAACGTATATTGACATGTAAATGAGAAATTCAAACTCGCACGACACAAAATACAGTCGATACCTGTCATTTGTGATTCGAATATTATTATGCATTTTGAAGCCCACAACACGGTATCTTTTGTCGATATGCAAATGAAAAGTGTCAAATGCTCCGCTTGGACCAATTTATATACATATCACGACTCGACAATACCTACATGTCAAATAGAAAGTAAATAAATAATTTCAAAAATCATGCTTTTTATTATGTAATTAAAATATATGGAAAACGTAGGTACAAATAATTCAACATTAGATTCAACTTTTACAAACAAAGTTTACTGACATAATAAATAGTGACTCGATATTCGTACCAATAAACGGCATTAATCTCATTTTGCGAGAGATAGGAAATATAGGCACAAAAGATCGCATTGGGCCGAAAGGTCGCACAGGTCAAAAGTGCACCAACGATTGTATTCGCTATATCGGCAAGTTGATTTGCTGAATAGAATAAAATTGTCGACCAAATCTTAAATTGATAAATTTTTCTAGTCTCTCACGATTAACGCTTTATTTACAATTTACATATACATTATTTAAATATGCCATGTTTATGTTTAAATACGTTTACAATGGAAATGTTTACTTTAACATAAACTGTTTACAAGTTTTCTTAATTAAAATAAATAGTTAAGGTAAACGTTCCAGTATCCGGACATGTACCTATGTCCGGATACTTACACAAAATTTATTATTATTAATCTCAAATGTTTTTTTTATTACAGTATTATAATTTAATTGCATTTAAAGATTACAATTAAATTATAATTACGTTTTAAAAAGCGTATTTGAAACTAATATTAACTTAAATAAAGTGTTATGTAAATGGACATAGGTTAGATATGTCCGGACATAGATACATGTCCAATCACTGGGATCGGACAGTATCTATGTCCGGACAGTTACACAAGACTTTATTTATTTATATCAATATTAATCTCAAATGTTTTTTTTAAAGATCAATTTGAATTAGTTGTCTTTTGTCATTAAACATCTATTTATATTATTATTTTCCGTCAACATATTAATTTTCCAATTGTGGTCGGACACTGGGACAATTACGTCTCAGTCCGACCGGCTTGTCCGGCCACTGGTTGACGCATTCCATTATTTATTTAAATATTTTAATTAATAATTGTTATAAGTGGGTTCAAATAATTTTTTCTTGCTTAAGGGAGTCTTAAATTTTCAAATGAATACAAATATTTATATTAAAAATCTTTTTGATATTATAAATTGTGTTATTTATGAGAATCTAGCGCTTAAACGTCCGGCTACTGGGACATTTACCTTACTAGTTTTAATACTAAAGATAGCAATGCATTCTATTATTTCTATTGTAATTTTGATTTAAAAAATTTTGATAATTTTATTAACTCTCTTTTAACTGCAAATATGTATGCGAGATCTAAAACGTACGCCAATAAACCGTTATTGTTTTTCGAGAAATTAGGACCACCCGGTACATACCACATACTTGGTATTAGGCTAGCGCAATACCAAGATGTAATAACATGCATGTACGTGCACGTGAGGCGTCAATCCGATATTTGCTTCAATGATACCGCAAAATTGTATTATTTGCTAAAAATCGTTCGAAAAGCAAGATATATTTTTAAAACATCGAAATATTTTATTGTATTAATGCAGTGTAATAATATCAGCAATTTGATTTTATTTCAATAAGTACAATCTTTTAAAAACTTTCTAATTATGTATGTCCCCTCTTTGTTAAAAAATTAATGAAAATATCTCAAAAAGACCAACATAATCAATCTAATGTATTGATTATGTATGTGTGTGTGTGTGTGTGTGTATGTGTGCTAATTTATCTTTATTCGTCTTTCATGATCTGTATAAAATAAATAATAAATATCGTTTCAAGCTGCAATCAAAAGATTTTTTTCTATATTTTTTTAAATAAATATTGCAAATAAATTTAAAATATATAAAAATGAATAGAGATTGAATACAATAGATATCATACTATTGTGTTTCTATTTCGATAAAATATACGAAGAGACTTATGAGATTAAAGAAGATATTCCCGCAAGCGGCATTCCCGAATATGTAATAACTCACACATCTGACAAAGAAGTGTCAAAAAATCACTCCGAATTGCTATCTTGTGCATCAACTTTCAGAGTTAGATTGTATATAGCTGGTAGAAACTGTTTTCGTTGACACATTGCGTGGCTTACCTTGTCAGAACCCCCATATAACTCGTCGCGTACAAGAATGTTAGAAGTTTCTCATAAACATAAAATTTCATGCCGAGCAAACTGGAAAATGATACATGTCAAGTAAACAGAAATATTAGTATCTCGTTTTCTTGTACATTCTACAGTGGATGTGTGCCAATAAACATATCGCGTCGTTCCAATGTACGAAGAAAAAAAGACCAATACTAAAACTTGGCATAGATATATCATTTTCAAGTAGAAGTAACCGTATTTCGTGATTAAATTTCCTAATTTTTTAATGTAATAATGAACTTGGTAACAAACTAATCGGAAATTTTTACTAATTCGTCAGCAAGACTAGAATATACAAATTTGATATCACAATTTCATTACGCGTATCTGTATTCAACAAAAATGACGATAACCCTTGTCAGAGAAGAGATCTAAAAAATTTAAAAATTTTCATGTACACAAAGTCTGGAATTTCCCGTTCATAATAAAAATCAGATTACGTAATTCCGTTATATATGAACATTAAAAAATTTATTAATTGGAAAAATTTTTTCTCTTTACTAAAAAATAGGATATTTTTATTGAAAACTTTATTAAAGTAGATATTTTTATACACTGAAATAATTTCTTGATAATATGCCAACATAATATTTTGTTAGAACTGAAATATATTTTTCGGCATAATAATACTGGTATAATAGTACCAATAATATGGTATTTAGCAAAATATGCTACTGGTGCACTGAAAAAAAAAGATTGGCTGCTGCAGCAAATTAGATGGTAAAATGTGGCATAGCATTTTTAATTGGATGCATTAGTCAATTTTTGGTTGTGTTAGCCTATCGAAATCCTATACTGACATAGGCAAACGCAACCAAAAATTGGCTGCTAAAGCCAATTAAAAATGCTATGCCATATTTTACCATCTAATTTGCTGCAGCAGCCAATCTTTTTTTTCAGTGCACCAGTAGCATATTTTGCTAAATACCATATTATTGGTACTATTATACCAGTATTATTATGCCGAAAAATATATTTCAGTTCTAACAAAATATTATGTTGGCATATTATTATATCATTGTTTGCAAACAGATTATATATTTGCTCCACGTTCCGTCACTCATCATTATTCAAAATATAGCGCAAACA